TATGGCAAACTTCTCAGAAGGGATCCTACCTAGTAAAGGCAAGGAGAGACAAATCTGCTTTCAGATTTGCAAGATTCTCTTACTATAACCTTACAATAAGGTTAGAGCTAGTATTCCCTAGTGTGGTTCTTATCTGGAGAACCTCACATGGCTGACACTTTATCCTGAAGCTTGAAATAATGATGGGAAAATTTGGGGCATGCACATCACCCTACTTCCCACTGTCATATAATATGAAAGGAAACAGATTAAAGGTTGTGAATTGTTCTTATTCAAAATACAAATCTAACTTTCTTTACAATTGTATCACAAGTAGAATTAAAAGCTGTAACAAAATTGTCAACAGATCTTCATAAAAATGGCATGTTTTCAGACAAATCCTGGTTACTTGTAAAGTTTCTACTGTTTCATTTGAAATGTCTCTTTACATTACCTAAGGTAGTTTTGGGCACTATATAGTTTCAATTTCTTTCAATTTTTTATTTTTATTTAAGGGTATATGCCCCTACATTTCTCAGCTTCTTATTTTTGTAATTCTCTCAAATTTAGTTGAACATGAAAAGATTTTAAAATCCCTTTAAAATCTGTTCTAAATTCTATATGCATTTACTGTAACTGCATATTTCTCCAAAGAAATACATGCAAAATGTTCCCTATTTTAGGGAATTGTGCATAAACAATTATGCAAACATTTTGTGTTGTATATACCGTTATGCCAACTGTGCATTGCTTTCATAAATAAGTTCATTTTATAGACATTTTCTTAAAATACATTTTTCAATGTTGGAAAACTATACCGCAGCCTTTGAAGGACATTATATTTTGAATAACATGTTTTTTAATTTATGCATTCGTTCAATAAGAGATATTAGATGGTCACAGTCTAAAATTAACTAAACAAATTTCTCCTCTATGCTTAGCATGGAAGAGGGTTTTCAGAGTTTGAGTTTCACTCTTGTGTATGATGGCTACTCCTATATAAAACAGATCTTAACAGAAGAAGAAAAAGTAAGGTAAGAGGCAGGATTGTCCAACTGGGTTTTGTGTGAGAACTTGTTGGTGTTCCATGTTGTTGTTGCTGTTTTTGACTGATGGCAAAAAAAATTAACACACACTCAGTCAATTTTCTATTACTAGAGCATTACATCTTGATCAAGGGTTATAAGAAATTAATTTTTAACAAATTCCACAGCCTTAACAAATTCCAAAGCAGTTTGAAAACCCCTGGTGTAACCCCTATATTTTCCTTGTTTCCTCATTTTTCTAAGTGCGGTCTAAAGAAATGCATTAGGAGGGAGAATGCTGTACCTTTTCAACATCAGAAATCGATAACAGTGACTGATTTTGGAGAGCTCCTGGTTCGGTAAAGGCTTGCAGATCCTGATTAGAAACATTTTTATCCGTAAACGATACGCTGCCAGATGGAAGCAGCAGAAGAGACCATGGAGATATGAGAAAGCCCAGAGCAGTTGGATCAGCTGTATTTGGAAAACAGAAAGATCTAATTAGCAATTCAAACGGCAGGATCAAGATTCCTTTTATGTATTCATTCAACAGAGACATGGTAAATTAAAATAAAAAAAGACATATCCAAAACGTAGACTAATGATTCACTACCAAAAATTTCAGGACTTATTCATTTTTCAACACCCATCCAACAAACCCATTTGGCTTCTTTGAATCCAAATTCTGATAATAATTTCTGATACATCAACAACAATGGAATCAGGTCAAAATAATGGGATAGGGCCTATAATGCAGGATCTGGAAACTTCTGTAGATTCTTCAGCATGCTAAATTTTAAAGTTAAAACTAGATCTAATAAGTAGATCTCTGTCAGGCGTGAAGAATCAAGACCACATGTTAAGCTCCAGTTAAACTGATTTATTGCTCATGCCTAGACACAGGAATCTCATCAATTAACAGTCAGCACTAAATTGGCACCGGTTAATTCCACCACCACCCCCTGACAAGAAGGGTTGGATTAAAATTTATTTATTTATAAATTGATATGCTGCCCATAAGTCTGTAGAGATTTTCCATCATCCAGGTCATGGTTGTCCCAGAGGTGCTTTTTCAGGAGATAACTGGACTTTAGTGTATGTTTTTTCTTTGAAGATATTTTGCTTCTCATCCAAGAACCTTCTTCCGCTCTGACAGAATAGTGGGGAATGGAAGGATTTATATTCCTTGCAGACAGCTGGTCATTTGCATTCTTTTAAAGAATCCTTGAGGCCACTTGGAGGTTTGTCTGTGTCCTCAGGGTCACCTGAGTAGTGCAAATGGTTCCTGTAGTTTGCAATTTATTTTTAAAATCCGTTCATACTCCCACACTATTCAAAGGGTGTCCATCCCAAATTGCATAGCAAAAAGTCTCCTCAGTTATCTAGGTCATGGTTATCCCAAAAATGCTTTTTCAGGGAGCAACTGGACTTTGTTTTTTCTTGGAAGATGTTTCGCTTCTCATCCAAGAAGCATCTTCAGCTCTGACTGGATGGTGGGGAATGCTGCCCATGTAACCATCTAATAATCTGTTTTGATGATAAATTCTTCCCTTTTTCAGGACGCATACATCTATATGCCACCCATATTTATTTCAGTTCACACATTTAAATAAATTGTGTTTCGTTTTACCTAGAATTCTACAAAAGTCTGGAATTTTTGCTCATTTGGACGTAAAGTGAATTAGGATAACTTCTAAAATCCTTAGATTTTAGAGTCTTGTTCCCTTATTTATAAATCAGGTCATTGATCCAAGTCAGCTTATTTGTCTTCAGTAAATAATAGCCATAGATTTCTTCATTAACAAGGTAGATAATATGCATTTAATACAGTAGCTTTCAATTACATATTTAATCATCTTAGGGATTAAATTGATTAAAACTGACTTACTAATTAAAAATAATAACAATGGTGCTTCTGAGATGTTCTTTGCTAAAACAAAGAATTTAATTGATGGAGCAATGGAGATATATGGGAAGAAGAAAGATGCAAGAACTACCATTCATGTTCCATGAATAATATTGCTATAAAGAAAAGCGAACGCTAAAATAATGCAGCCTACATTTGACCTTTCAAGACAGGCAACATTCTACCATGAAAAATGGCTATTCTTGTAATAATAAAATCTCTTTGCATAGAACTCACCAAACATTATTTACGAGGCATATAAGTTTTTCTAAGGATTATCCTGTGCCTGATTGTATTAGAGGAATGATATGATCCATTGTTGAGACATGCCAAAAGTTTCTTCCTTTCATAATACAGAATCTTGGGCCATCAAAAGGAGATAATTGATGGCAGAATCAGAACAAACAAAGCTACTTTTTAACACAATACGTGGTTCAAGAACGAAATTTACTATCATAAATGAATTGGTAGCCAACTTGAATGGCTTTAAAGCGAATGGACAGAATCAGAATAAGATCAGCTGCCTCAGAGGAATTTTACCCTGTGCCAAGTTTCAGAAGAAGTAGATGTCTAAATACAAGTTCCTGGAGAAAACCACTAAGACGTTAGTAATTCATTTATATTCCAGCTGTGGACCTCTTGTAAGACTTGACACATTCACTGGGGGAACAAAATGCTAAACCAGACATTGTTTTTTTACTCTGATTCAGCAGAGATCTTTTCAATATCCTTGAATTTTAATCGAACAGATGGTTTGTACTGAGAAGATCAAGTTTGGCTCATAGGTTATATATGATTAATTGACTGGGAATTGGTCATAGCCAGATGTAAACCATTTCATAGCAAGAGGAGAAAGTTCTATCTTCTGCCTCCTGAACCACGTACAAGAAACTCTATCATAGTACTGGTTGACTCTGCTGTTGTAGTCAGAATCATAATGAATGCAAAGAACCTGAAATTGGAAATACTGTGTTGGTTGCAATTTCTACATCATGTTGTGATGAATCTCTTTTCCCAGGCAACTACACAACTACAGGTAGTTCTCAAATTATGACCACAAATGAGCCCAAAATTTCTGTTGCCAAGCAAGACGGTTCCTAAGTGAGTTAACCCCATTTTACAACCTTTCTTGCCACAGTTGTTAAATGAATCCCTGCAGCTGTTAAATTAGTAACGCAGTTGGTTAAGGGAATCTGACTTCCCCATTGATTTTGCTTGTCAGGTTGCCAAAGATTATCACATAACTCCAGGACACTGCAACTGTCATAAATACCTGCCAGTTGCCAAACAGCCAAATTTTGATCACGTGACCATGCAAAGGCAATCAGTGTGAAAAATGGTTATAAGTCACTTTTTTCAGAGCTGTTGAAATTTCAGCCACTAAACAAATGGTTGTAAGTCAAGGATTAGTTGTATATTGTGATCTTTTAGAAAAGGGTTGTTCTTTCTGCATTTACACACAAACAGGGTTGCCATCTGGCCGTTTTTCCGGCCAAATTCGAGAAATCTGGCCGTATTTCTATCTGCTTGGCCGTGAAAAAAATGATGTCTCCGGCCAAATTTATTTGGCCGGAAATTTGGCCGTACGAAAGTTGCTTGGCTGTGAAATCGGCCAGATCTCTCCTTCCCTTGCGCATGCGCGTCACCATGAGCAAAAGGAGGACAAGCGCGTCCTCTCAGTTCTCCGACACGCCCGCTTCCTCTCAACTCCCGTCACACACCCCTTCGGGACCTTGGCGCCCGACCACGCCCCCTTCCCACCTGTGACCTGAGCAGGGGCGGCTCCTCCTCCATCAACACCACACCCATTCCTATTACGGCTCGTTCCAACGCCACGCCCCTCGGCTTCCCCACCCATCCCGAGCTCTCCTTCCCTCGCGCATGCGCGTCACCATGAGCAAAAGGAGGACAAGCGTGTCCTCTGGCGCTCTCCTTCCTTCCTGCATGCGCAAAAAATAATTTGGCCGAATTTGGCCGTATTTTGACTTGAGTTTGGCCGCAGAGGCAAACTGCGATCTGGCAACCCTGCACACAAAGGCTTTCAAATGATATCAAACCTCTACTGCTTGGCTCATAAGAACATTTTAATCCTAGGTAATAATGTATGAAGGGACGTTGTGGCTCAGTGGCTATGACGCTGAACTTGTCAATCAGAAAGGTTGCCAGTTTGGCGATTCGAATCCCTTGTGCCATGTAATGGAGTGAGCTCCCATTACTTGTCCCAGCTTCTGCCAACCTAGCAGTTCAAAAGCATGGGAAAATGCAAGTAGAAAAAGAGGGACCACTTTGGTGGGAAGGTAAATGGCGTTTAGTCATGCCGGCCACATGACCTACCGAGACGCTGGCTCGGCTTTGTAATGGAAATGAGCACCACCCCCTAGAGCTGGAAAGGACTAGCACGTATGTGTTACCTTTAATAATGTATGAAACTCTTAGGAAATATCCTCTTTACGAATACCCACTAAGCAACTTTTAATTTCTGCCAGGAAGTAAAAACTTTATAAAGTCATCTGAGATTAGGTAATTTAACTGGGGGTAGCTGTTGATTTCTCTGAGTTTTCTGATGTTTTTATGTTCTCTTCTGTGGTTTTAGGTATGGTATGTCTCTGAGATAATTAATCATCTGCATCTAATATATTGCAAAAACTGTACAAGTACAAATTGTACTTGTAGCCTGCTTGATACTAACCATGTTCCTGTATCTGAGGAAAAAGGAAATAGCACTTTTAAGATAGAATTTACTGCTGACCTTTATATTTTTCCAAAAATGTTTATAAAAATAACTTTTGTTTCACCTCTGTGGTAGGTCATTTAATGCTTTTAAATCAATTAATCTGAATCAGAGCAGTGAGGCAAGCCAATTTGCTGCCCGAGGAGCATTACACAACAGGATGCTCATTTAGTGGTAAAACCACATCACTTCACTGAGGTACATGCATACGTTCAAACTACTGTTGTATAACTTAATACATTTTTGCTGTTTTAAAGAAGTAGCCTATGTTGAATAGGATGCCAAATTGTAGGTAAGAAGGATAAAAGTAAACCAGGGGTGTCAAACTCAAGGTCTGAGGGCTGAATTTGGCCTGCGGGATGCTTAGATCTGGCCCACGTGGCCACCCTGGAAACAGCAAAGGATCGGCCTGCGGTGCTTCTGCCAGTGAAAATGGAGCTTGGGAGAGCCATGCATGACCCCCCCCCCAGCTCCGTTTTCCCTGGCAGAGGGTTGCAGGATGCTGTCCCAGCCGAAAATGGAGCTCATGAGGGCTGTGCATGACCCTCCCCCAGCTCAGTTTTCACTGGCAGAGGGCTGCAGGAGGCTGTTGCAGCCGAAAATGGAGCTCGGGAGCCCGTTTTTGCTGGCAGAGCACTCGGGCCAGCACAGTCGCCCATTGACACAAATGATGTCATGCTGGCCACGCCCACTCCGGCTCTCCGAGGTCAAACACATCCCTGATATGGCCCTCAATGAAATTGAACCCTGAAGCAAACAAATAAGACCAGTGTTTTTAAAATGTTCTTTTCACGTGAAAGGACTTGCTACACATTTGATATTTCTAACACCGTGTGA